GGGTCGCGCACCGGGGTGGCGATGGGGACGAGCCGGTGAAAGCGGCGGCCTTCCCCCTCCGCGTTCTCACGCGCTGTGTGTCCGCCCGTCGCGCTTCCAGATTCCGTGCAGTGGGAGGGGCGCAGCCTCCTGAAGGCGCTCATCAAGAACGCCGCACTCCGGTAAGGATTCGCTAGCCGCTCCCTGTCCAACCCCGCCAGGGCGCATGGGCTCCCCTTTTGACACTTGTCCTGGTCTGTGCTTCAGGGGGGATCAAGTGCACGTTCTGGGCTGTGAGGTCAGCGAGGAGGAGTTTCGAGAAGGTTTTGAGCCCGATGTTAATAGCCGGTAAGTCACAGTTCTCTTAAGTCGAACATCAGCTAGATGGTACCTAGCAACAACCTACAAATGAGAATTTAATTGGGTGTAGGATCTCTATTGCTAAGAAACTTCGCTTACAGCAAAACAAAACCTGGTACCCCTAGCACCAGGTACTAAAACATTCCTTGAAGGAATAGATACAGATTTTCTAGAGGAGAAAAGTCATGAGGAATGATGAGTGGTGCATATCCTGAAGCAGAGACCACAGAATGGAAGAGACCTGAAAAGTAATAGACCATGCAATGGAGCAAGCGTCTTACTGGAGCACAGGAAGGAAACCTCATGACCTAGTGGCTAAGTATTGGCCTGCTAAGTGCAAGGTCAGCAGTTCAGAACCACCAGCCTATCGGTGGGAAAGAGTCTCAGAAACACACAGGGGCACTTCCACCGTGCCCTACAGAGTTATTTTGAGTCAGTACTGACTGGACGGCAGTCAGTTTTTGTTTTGTCCTTTGAGGGGAGGAGCTCTGGTAGTGGTACGGCTTGCATGTTGGGCTGCTAACATGGTCAGCAGTTCAAAAGCACCACCCACTCCAGGGGGGAAATGAGATTTTCTACTCCCATAAAGATTTACAGTTTTAAAAACCCAGGGGGGCAGTTCTACTCTGTCCTATCGGGTGGCTGAGTCAGAAATCAACTCGATGGCAGTAAGTTATTCTGAATCTAGTGGTGCTTAATCCAAGATGGATCTCGAAGCAACACTGGCTGCAGACTCCTGAGGTGCTTGTCCTCTCAAGGCAGAAGGAACTACGTATTCAAAATTAGGGAGAAGGAAGAGAGACCTGGTAAGACAGGCAGCTACTCGGTGATCAGAGGACTCACTTACCCGTGAAAATTAGTTTGGTGTTATCCTAAAAATGATTTTAGAAATGGAGCTTGTGAGCCTGTTGCTGCAGTATCCTGCATCCAGGCTGCCCTCTTCCATTATGGTTTTGCCATACCTGGATTTTCAAATAGACCCCTACCCCCCACTGCCTTTAGGGTGACACATAAAAATCTTCAGCAGGTGGCATTCCCAGCACTTACCTGACATGGGGCCCAAAGAAAGTGTTTAATACTGCTAATTGTCAAGATATTATAGCTCTATTAAATTATAAATGCAGAAACTAAGGTTAACTGATGTAGCACTTCGATGACCACCGTCAAATACACTTGGAGTTCAAGACTGTCTTGACATCGGAGTCTGCTCTCAGACACTTTATGTTCTGCCTCTCAGTATTCAGATATTAGTGAAAAACCAGAAAGCAGTTGTAAAGATGAGGTTGGAGGAGAAAGACTGCATTGTCTCCTGTTTTCCCATGGCAGACTGGTTTACCATGACCTTTTCAAAGACCCTCTCAACTGGTCAAAGACTGGAGAAGCCCTTCCTGGGGGACCCCTGGGTGCCTTGAGGGCGCTGTGCGGAAGGACACAGCCTGGTCCTGTCACCATTGCCCTAGATTCACTCAGCTGGCTGTTGTTTCACCTCCCCTGCACCACCCTGTGCCAGCTCCTGCACGCTCTGAGCCATCAGAACGCCTGCCCAGGTGAGCTCCCCTCCTTCCGCTTCCACTGCCAGAAATGTATCCCCTTTCTCTTCACCCTAAGAAGAAAAACACATCAAAGATCCCCAGTTGTTCAGGTGTCTGATGTAGCCCCTAGTGCAGCGGTTCTCAACCGTGGGTCACGACCCCATTGAGGGTCAAACAACCCCTTCACAGGGGTCGCCTAAAACCATCAAAAAATTTTCCTATAGTCTTAGGAACCAAGACCCCCACTCCTCTGTCCGCCTCCAGGTGGGTCTGCCCACATGCAGATATGCCAACATACGAGTACCCGGCGTGAAGACTGTCACCGCGCTACACCATGCTTCAAGACAAAATTTCATTTATTTATAACTGGAAATATATCACAATCTAGGATGACATCTTGTCTTGTGATTAATCACTATGCTTTAATCATGTTCAATTTGTAACAAAATATCATCCTGCCTATCAGATATTTACCTGATGATTCATAACAGTAGCAAAATGACAGTTATGAAGTAGCAATGAAAATCATGTTATGGTTGGGGGGTCACCACAACATGAGGAACTGTATGAAAGGGTGGCGGCATGAGGAAGGTGGAGAACAACCACTGCCTTAGTGGCTCAGGATGGTATTGATAAGTACCATCTGTACTCTGCTGGCTTTCCAGCTTTCTCCTGCATGCCACCTTCATTGTGCAACTTTCCCCCCCCCTCCCCTCCCCCGAGTCTTTTTACCCTTCCACTTCACCCATTCAACAGACACTTAAATACACACAGTGTGTCCTGTACCAGTCTAGGAAATGGGAGAATAGAGAACTACTGCATAGTGGAATCCTTTCCTTCCAAGAACTCAAAAGTCCCCCATCAGATAGAGCCAGATAAAAAGGCTGTTACAAGTAGTCTGATTAGGACCATGATGAAAAAGAAGTGCCGAGAGTGCTTCAAAGTAGGCATTGCCTTGAAGAGGCACCTGGGCAGAAATGCTGGAGACAGCCCTGAAAAGCCTGGTGGATAAGAGTGTGACTGAGTAGTGCCATCTTCTCTGGCACATGAAGGGATAGGCGTGCCCAGCCCAAGCCATGGCACTTTCAGTTGTCTGCTAGACTGGCAAAGTCTGCACCACAAGTAAAGGAAAGCCAGAGAACTGAGGCCTTAAGTTATGGTGTTAATGAAGACTATTCACCAGACCGTGGGCTGCCAGAAAAGGGAACAATTAGAAGTATGGCCAGAAAGCTCCTTAGAAGTGAGGGTTTTCTGTCACATGCTTTGGACATGTTATCAGGAGAGACCTGTTCTGCAGAAGGACATAACATTGATTGGACAGTTGGCAAAAAATAAATAAGTAAATAAAATTGCCGTTTTTAGAAGTTCAAAAGAATGACGTACCAGGAATTTCATGCGATTTTTACCTAAAAAGGCTGGCCTTTATGTGCTTAAGATTCCTTATTAAACAACAGCATCTGGTGCTGTAAATACCCCCAGAGAAGGGGAGAAATCAAAAGTTAGTGGCAGAGAACTTGGGGCAAGGTCTCAAAACTGCAAGTCGTTCGTTGTGTGTGAGGTGAGGCTGGAAAGGGTGGCTACCATCCTGAAAGCCAAGAGGGAGCTAATGAAGATTGACATCAGGAAAATCGAGTGTATGGAAGATTAGATCTGGATTGTGGTAGTGTCGCCGGGGAATGGCGGTTTTCACTGCGTTGATCCCAACCCCTTACATTTCTGTTTCTCCCCAGATGGCAGCTCCCCTGTGGAGCGGGTGCATGTGCTGGGCCTAATACATGAAGAGCTTCATGGGCCAGGCCCTGTGGGGGCACTGAGCAGCCTTGCTCAGGCAGAGGTGACCTTGAGCGGCATGCTGGACCAGACCTCAGCCCACATCGTCAATCGGAGGCTCCGACAACGCCCAACCCAGCAGGTCAGGAGAGCTGGGGGTGAGGTCATCAGATAAAGGGAAGCATGATGGGAAGAGCAATAAGAAAGCAGGTGTGACAGAGCATTTCCCTGTGCGTGCCCCTTTCCTCTCCGTCCATCTTCACAGCTGTTCGGGGAGCTGGGTTGCCTGCTAGCCCATGTTGGGAGAATAAGTCCTGGGAAGCGTAAACTGAAGTTCCTTACAAGTTAGAGAGCAGTGGGAAGAAGGTGCCTGGCTGACTCAGTGCCTATGAGCTGAACACTAGAAAGATACCATCTGGGAAGAGTCCAGGAGAACAGCCTGGGGGGGGTTGCCAGCGGGAAGAAGGGTTAGCAGTTGAGTCAGGAAGTGAAAGCTGCGGGGATTAGGGTCTGGGAGTTGCGTTATTCAGCAAGATTTAAAAAACAAAACAAAAGGGCTTGAAAAACGTCTGTCTTTTTCTCCGCAGACACAGTGGTTCTCCATCCTGCCTGACTTCAGCCTACATCTCCATCGGGTGCCTGCCCGAGAGCCCCGTCCCTGCCCTCCCACCACTCAGGTATCTAAAAAGGGATCACACTGAGGGTCTCCTGAGAGAAGAATAAAACACGCAGATTGTGGGGAGGGGCCGGGACTCCAGCTTCGGAGCAGATTGACAGCGTTCTTTGTACCCGCAGGTGGATCCCACAGCTCATTTAACCTTCAATCTTCACCTGTCCAAGAAAGAAAAAGAAGCCAAAGACAGCCTGACTCTGCCCTTCCAGTTCAGCTCTGAGAAGTAAGGTTGGGGCCTGTATGCCCCAATCCCTAAGCTGACCCTAGTATCCGAGCCAGAAAAAGGTGGGGTGACTGGGTGTTACTGTTTAACCGCTCAGACTCTTTATAGGGACTGAAGTCCATCTCCAGAGATGCTTCTGGGGCGTGGCTCCCCACCACCTGCCCCACCATGGCAAAGGGCCTCTGTGTATCTTTTCTCTCCCTTAGGCCCTTGTATCCCAGCTCAACAATTATCCCCAGAGCAACCTGGGCCTGGGCTGGGCCTGACCAGACCAGACCTTGAGGAAGTGGCCCTATCTCCGGGCAACAGTGCTAGGGCGACAGGAAGTTAGATGGGTGTGGCAAAGCAGTTTAACAAGGGCTTGTATATTCTTGCTGTTCTGTGCTCCGTGTGTGGGTAGATGAAGTAAAACAAGATCCTTGCCCTCAAGCCACTAAGAATTTATGATAACTGTTAAAACAGCAAGTGAGCTAGCTATCCAAGTCACATTGTGCTTCAGCACTAACTAAACATGGACGTTGAAGGGGAGGTGAGCTTGAGCCAAGAAAACAACATGAACTTCAGAGAGGGAGTGCCCAAGTGAGAGTCAGTCCCTAGGAAGAGCAGTATCCAGAAGCCACCTGTGAGCCCCGCTCTCACCAGTCACTTTCTCTCTCATCCCTCTTAGACAACAGGCTCTGCTGCGCCCTGGGCCAGGCCAGAGCACCAGCCAAATCTTCTATGAGCCAGATGCTTACGATGACTTGGACCAAGAAGATCCAGACGATGATCTAGACATTTGATTGGCCGGGAGATTTGGATAACCACGATTGGGATTGAAATTGGCAAAGAACCTGGGCCCAGAACTCACATAGTTCTCGTTTGTGCTGGTCTGCCTCCCGCACCCCCTTTGTTCTCTGTCTAGAGGCCCTGTCTTGTGTGTGACCCCGTGGAGTCAGAGGAAAGGCTGATCAGGACAGAAAGTGGGATGAGAGCATAAGGGAGGTGAGACAAGAGGAGCTTCCCTCTATGCCTAATAAAATTTTTTGTATATTTATTTTAATTAAAAAGCCACTCAGCAGTTGAGGCGGGGGTTCAGAGCGGAGATGGGAGGCTGGGAAAGGAGGAGAAAAGGAGATCACCTGGGTCTCTGGAGTCCATCGCCAGGGTCTGGGGCTCTTGAAGTACAAAGAAAGGGGCAGAAACAGCCTCCAACAAACAGCATTGTAAAGCTCCACACTTGATGCTGATGCAGAACTGTACCGTGGATTTCCAAGACAACACTGTGTATAGGAGATTAATAAGCATCTCTCTCCCTTGGCACACCTATTGGTTTTGAACTGCTGACCTTGTGGCTAGCAGTCCACTCCTTAGCCACTACACTACCAATTTGGTACCCAATAAGTGGTTGGTTGGAGGTGGTCATTTGGGTGGAAGCTTACAGAGCAACTTGGTTTTCCATTCAGCAGTTAATACCCACTGCTTCCCAAAATCACCATGCCCGGTGCCTGGCATTTTCTCATTCCGTGTTCCCTGTTTCTCAGTTCTTTCCTGTCCCCTTGTGCTCTCCGTGGTCCTTAGGCAGGTGCTGCCCTTTTCTCCATTCGTTGATTGGTGGTGGTCAGTCACCTGACAGGTTTTGCTGAAAGTTGAGCCACCAGAGTGAGTTTGCTTGCTAGCCTGACAGGTGTTTAAGGGCCTGAGCCTCTGGGGCTCCACCAGTCTGTCAGGCCAGTAAGCCTGTTCCTTTGTCTGGAGTTTCCCTCCATACTTTCCCCCAGTCTCCAGGACTTTCTGGTGATCCCTTTTTACAGAGCTGCTAGTAGTACCAGGAAGTGTTTTTGAGCAGAGCTAAAAATAGGCGCACTTAGGCTCCAGGCTCCCTGCTGGATCGGAGATGGACAAGGGGCCCTGAAGCCATGGCGGGAGAAAAAGTGAAGCTTATTTTGCAAAATGTTTTTTATTACTATACAAAAAAGTAGGCCCTCCTCTCTCCTCCGTCTACCCCTAGGGAACTGTACACGATGTGCATGCAGCAGGGCTGGGTTGACCGGGCACCTTGCCCACAGGCTCAGCTCTCTGACCCAGGCCCTGTCAGGCTGGGGCTCGGAGGTTGCAGTTTACACATACTCTTTGGCAGAGTTCGGTGCGGTGTAGGAACGGGGCGCCCGGTACGCAGGTTTGCCCTCACTGCCTGGACAGGAGCACGAGAGCAGGGCGCCCCCCAGGAGGACCAGAGCAGACCCTGCCCAGCCAATAAAGATGGCAGGTCCGAACTCATACCTGCGGAAGAGGAGTTGGGATTAGAAACCCTACCTGCTCTGCCCTCCCTCCACGATCCCAGAGCTCCCAACCTCCCCAGACCAGACGTACTTGAGGTTCATAGGGACCAGGGGGTTGTAAAAGTCTGAGACAATCTGATGGCCCTGCCAGGAGCAAGCTACCAAGGCAAGCAGACCTGGAGAGAAGAGATTGGATGCAGTGAGCCCAGCCTCTGAACACACTCGCTGCCCGGGAACGGGGCCCAGGAGGGCCGTGGGCGGTGGGCCTTGGTTCTGCGGCTCACCTGCCACAATGAAAACGATGCCTCCGGTCATGGCTATGCGGGCCTTCTTCACTTTGTCGTCCCCTCCACAGCGCGTGCACTTCATGCCCATGGTGGCCACGAACATGGCCAAGAAGCCCAGGACCAGCGACACAACCATGAGAGCCCGAGTGGCCTGCAAGGCGGCTGCCGGGAGAGGGTGGGGAGCGTCATTGCTGGCGGTCAGCAGCTGCGGCCTTGGTGCCCCCGCTGGGCTCTCGCGCGCGCTCGCCCGCCCCGTAAACCCTGAACAGCAGTCCGGTGGTGGCCACGGTCCGCTGGGCCCCGCCCCACCCGACGCCGCGGCCTTGCCCGCCCTCTCGGATCAGGGAGCCGCCCGGGGCGCCAGGGTTTCGATGAAACTGCCCTGGGGAGGGGGAAGGGTGACTAGGGGCCTGGAGCAGGAGGCCGGCAACGACCCGAGCCTGCGCCCCGCCACGGGTCAAGCCGGTGACCCAGCTCCGAGCCCGCTATCAAAGCCACCGGGTTTGTGGCTTTACCTAGATAAGATTAGAGGCCAAGGGCAGCGGCTGGCGCACACCAGACCGCTGCGTACCCCAGCCGTCGAGCCACCCCAACGCCTTTGCCGGGGGGCCGGCCGAGGCCACCGC